GAGACTAAGGTAACAAAGACAAGTTAAGTGCCGTACCACCCTCCGTTCTTGAGGGATGAGAGGCTAAAATGAATCAGGTCTATGGGTAGTCAAACTAAATGTTTAGGTTGCTCCCCTAACTTCCCTTAATCTCTCACGTAAAGGGTACGTGCACGGGGCCCAAAGATCAAAAATGGAATTATCATAGTGTAACATAATGGTCATGCACTTTATATGACTCATTGTGTGTAAATATTTTGTGAGGATATTTATGCTCACGGAACTTTCACGCACTAAGTTGTTCATGCTGTTGGTAGATCGAGTAAAATCTTATACCTCTTATATTCTAATGGATTGGCGGCTAGCCGACATAGGGCGATGGAGGCATGGTTATGGAAACCACAATGCAAATAAATTCCACATATAGTATGGTTGATTTGAAAATTAACATTAAGTCATGATGCAATGTTTATAAAACTTAGGTTATAAAGGCCCCATTAATGATATGCTGTATGCTTCTATAAGTTTAAGTTTTTGCTAATAAAGAGTAAATTATAATTTATTGATGGGACGATCAAAAATTTAAATTCTTATGAAAATTCTTCGAAATTCTAGCTAAGAATTTAAATGTTCCTTTGTCCATAATATTTTGACATATTACGTTGAATAGTATAATATGGGATTTTCATAATTTTAGAGCCGTGATTTCCCGAGTAAATAAATTATATCTATTATAGTGCAGTATGGTTTCAATTAGGTGCTTTCCAAAACCCGTTCTCCTCAATTAGTTTGATTAGGTGGTGTACTCTTCGGATTATATGTGAGATTAAAGTATAGGAGGAAAAAAGTTTTAAATTAAAAAAAGATTCCCTTGAAATTTTAGTAACTAAAAAGATGTTTAAATCCAGTAAAAGTTTAAGAGGAGTTAATTATGTTTTAAGAATGCTAAGTAGCGGTTTGAAAAATCGTGTCGTTACATATGGCTACCGACACTGGTGACTGGTTGTCGAAGATTGCCTCTCAGCAACATCTAGTAATTTTTAGGTAGTAATCTTGTAGATTATCTTTTTGACCATTGGATAATTTTGGTAATACATATGTTAAGCCTTTGATTGGTTCTAATCCAAAGGGATGGAAATTAACGGGCCAACGTTTGAGACACAAACATTAAATGGTATTATTTAAAGGGGTATTTGTCTCATTTTCTTTCTCATGGGCAACAGAAACGAGCACAAAACTTGCTTAAGCCTATCTTTGGTAGAGTGGAAAAGAGAGAACGAAAAGGAGACAAATACCCGTTGAAATAGACACCCTTTTTAGGCCACAAATATTGACCCAATGATTTCTACGCTTTTAGACTAGTTAGAGTGAAAGGTCCAACATATGGATTAGTGAAATTACTCCTGATGGTAAAAAAGGCAATCTATAATATTACTATCAGAAAATTACCAGATACCACCAGAAGTCAATCTTAGGTCACTGGCTGGCAGCGGACCCTCAATCGCCGGAAACTAATCTAACAAATTACTCTTCATAATCTACTAAATTGTTCTTTTATTTTCAACTAAAAAATGATTGATTGCCTCCAAACTCTGATGCCAATATTGTAGCGAGTAAGCGATACTCGTTTTGCATGAAAACACAAAATCTTATTCTAACTGATCTATAATTATCCAATTTGCGCCGTGGCCGACACTGATTCTAGATGATCCTACAATAAAATTCACGGCGATTTGGTCCCATTTTCCATATTGGAACCTTAGTCCCCTCTTCCATATTAGACAGGCGCCCCTCCCAACGTACATGAGGCGAGCGGGTTGATGTAGTGGCACTAACCACAATGGGCACACATTGGCACACAATATCAGAGTTTCTACCAAAGTGCATGGGATAATTGATAGAGGAGACAAGAAAGGAGATAAGAAAGAAATGGTTTGTTTGGATATAGAGTATAACATCTAAATCTTCATTGTCATACTAGCGTCACTGTCTGTCACTATATTTGTCACTTTTTATATTTATTGTTAAAGACGTGAACTCCACTGACAGAATATATTATTATTTAAGCAGAAAATGAGATAATGAAATATACGTGTCAAACAATAAATGCAAAAAGTGACCAACAGAGTGACAGAAAAAGTGACGTTAACATTTATATATGAGAGAAATCATATAGTTTTCCCAATTTGACCAAAGAAAGGGAGAAATTCGAAGCAAAAACGGTTTTCTCGAGCGAAAAACATAAAAATACATGGGTGGATTTTCATTTACAAATTTACCCTGTGTAGATACGCTCAGCCTTGCATACTCCTGTCGTTTTTACGTATGCATAAAAATGTTTTAGTAGCCAAGTTATCCGGATTTATAAGCTGAGCATGAAAAATGACGACGGTTACTTTTTCCTCTGAAGGAAAATTGACATTTACATACACGTTTAAATTATATACACCCTGTATGATTGGAATAGGTTACGAATTTTCTCTTTAAGGTGTACGGATTGGATATGTATCCACCCTGTATGAATGGAGTAGTTCAAATCTTACCTTTTTATATATTATACATGGTGTACTGAATGTATTAAATACATTAAGGTCATGGCAAAATCTATGTGCATTGCATTTAAATGAACAAAAGTGTTACAAAACCAATTTATAGCCTTTTTCTTTATTTTTTTTTATGCCTTATATTGTAAGAACAAACATATAGCTAGGAAGATACATGTAACCTAAAATTCATAAATTCTTCTCTTCATTAAAATGAAGGCCATAACTATATGTTAAAAGGAAATGAAAGGCCATACCTACTGGAGAAAAAAGGACGAGAATGGAGAGAACTCTTATAAAGTCAAACTATATATACACCAATATTGTTTTAAGTTCATCTGTACCTTTTGACTTTTCTATCTCATTTATTAACTTGGCTAGTTTTCAATCCTATGTTTTGTAGAAATGCGTGAGCAAGTCGGTTAACCATATCTTTCTTTGTTTTGTTTTTCTATAATTTCTAGTCGGCACATTTAATTGTTTTGTACCTTCGAAAAATTCATATGCAACTTCATTTAGTAGATGTGCATAAACATTAGACACATGTACACAAATATATGTATTATGCGCCTAAACTAAACCCACAATTAATGAAAAATAAATTTTTTTTTAAAATAATTATTGGTGTTATCCAATCCTACGGTTTTTGACACTCAAAAATCTCGAGGCGCAAATAATGGAATAGAAAGGAATTTAATCCAATTCTACTTGAAAAATAGACCCAACACACGAGAATGAGTCCTAAAGAGGGGTTGTGTACTGTCAAAAGAAGACATCTTTCGTCAGTTAATGTCTTATGACACAATCAATTAATTTGTAGCATGATTTGCTTCTGAGTTACCAAAGAGCGGCCTTTATATGGTTTTTATATGGTTTGTTCCTATCAACTTCAAACAACTGCATTAATTAGTTGTAGAAATATGACTAAAATCTAAACTAATCATAGAGTCATGATAGTTATATTCATAGCATATGTTATTTTATTAATTCACACAATCAATTAATTTGTAGCATGATTTGCTTCTGAGTTACCAAAGAGCGGCCTTCATATGGTTTTTATGTGGTTTGTTCCTATCAACTACAAACAACTGCATTAATTAGTTGTAGAAATATGACTAAAATCTAAACTAATCATAGAGTCGTGATAGTTATATTCATAGCGCGTGATATTTTATTATTAATTAATTCCTATATAGACTCGCATCAATTTAGTTATCAATCACAAGTTATAAATTTATTTTTGTCCGTCATTGATTTTTCAAAGGTTCATACTTATGATCGGTTTTGCTATTGTTGGAAAGACTTTTTGTTCTCTTTATTCCTTTGAAGCTTAGATTACTACTACTAGGGACGTGTATATAATGTGAATGCTTCTGTGGTTGTCTAGAACGTGGTTGAATATTGTGTAATAACTTTCGAAATCAGAACATATATATATATATATATATATATATATATTCCAGTCAGCTGACTGGACATATAAGATCACCGCCTCTCAACTATACAATAAAAAAAATAAATTTTCAAAAAAAACAAAATTTTAAATAAAATTGATATTAAACACCACGACTAATAAAAGACGAGTTCATCGTTTGTAAATTCTATATATTATAGAATTTTCTTCCTATCAATATATGATGTTAGAATATTAGTGTGCCTCCAAGGTTGCTCAAACAATGAACAGTTTTTTTTATTTTTTTTTATTTTTAATTAACGATACATTAATGAACACGTTAAAGAAGTAAATTTCTACTCTTCCATTTCTATATATCTAATATTTTTGTTACTAGTGCATTATATGTTTCATATAGGATGGAAAAAGAGTTGTCCATAATCTTTGCTAAATATGTTTCTCGTGAATATCTGACCATATTATATTAGTTTATTAAGTGGTATTGAGTTTTGCATATGTTGTCCCTACATTAAATCTAATAATTGATGGTATTTAACTATAAATACTTACCATAACGTTCGACCCACTTTCACCGCCTAGAAACGGATTAAGATATTTTTCTTTTTGCCTCACAGAAAAGAAAAATAAATTAATATTGGAAACATCATTATGATGATGTTCCACATCAAAATTGGATTGCAGAAACTAACTTTGCCACAACTAGTTCAAATTATTCTTTCATAAGCAATGCTTTGGAATATTCTATTATTGTTCCACTTCTGAGGCATATTTCTCTTAAAAATATAAAAACATAAACTTTTAAATATTCTATTATTGTTCCACTTTTAAGCCACATATACAGATAACCTCTCTAAATAATTAATTAATTATATACAGGCAAATTAAATAAAAGAAAAACAAATACCGACTAATTTCCCCCTCTTAAACAACTACGTACTGTTAATTTCAGGATTACATGATCTATTTGCCAGTTAATTGGCGGCTACAAACATTCAACTTCATTCTCATCATTGAACGAACTAATTAAACAAGAAATATATATTGACAAAACATAGCTCAAGAAGTGACAAACGTTCATAATATTATACATAAAAAGAAAACAAAAAAATAAAGGGAGTAGAAGGAATTGAAGATGACGTGGTTACAAGTTAGGCGCTTAGTGTTAATTTCACAGCTGATTGTATCATAAAGTACTATAGAGTTTAAATATCTCCCACCGCCAAGTTAAAAAGAAAAAGACATAAAACTATAAAATAAAATAGAAAGTGTAGAAGAAAAAGAGATCAGAAAAAACGATCATCTATAGGACTTAAGAATGGCTCCACAGAAAGTACAAATTATGGCTCTCCAAGATCTCCAATAGAAGGGAACATAACAAAACCTCGTCTCTGTTTTCATGTCGGCGACGCTCGCCCCGCCGCCGCACCGCGAGCATGTCCCCGCCGCCGGCTTGCTCCTCTTCACCTTCCTCGTCTGATCCACCAAAAAGCAAAAGCAAACCATTATTGTAGCTCTATATATGCGCGCGTGTGTGTGTTTATTTATCTGAGCTGAATTATTGTCTTCAAAATCAAACTCTTAGCTACTACGTTGCTCTTCAAACTTTTTAAGAGTACTCAGTGAGAGAGTTAAATGCCTCCAATGCCTTCAATGCCTTCAATGCATGACATGACATATATCTCATGTAACTTGTACAAATATATATAGGTGAAGAGTTGTTAAAGGTCGAACAGTTATGGAGAAAATGCGTCGTAGATGGATGACACGTGTGTAATATGGTACAGAAGTTGCTCGGTATTTATATAGGTCGCTCATGTAAATGTGAAGGGTCAACCAATTATAACCCTACTTGGGAGCTTCATGGTAATTTTGTTGTGTGGAATTTGAATGTTGGCAGTTGAGTTGTGTAATTGTGATAGTAATTGTACGGTTTTTTAATTTATTTTCATTTTTCTTTTTTTTTTTCTAACAATTGTAATTATTCGGTTGGTAAATGTTAAATATCTCTTATCAGCAAGGTAAGAAAGTACAGAGCCACTTTATATCTCTAGATAGATTTTTTTTTCCAAGAAAGATGTACGGATTGCTTGGTTTTATTAATAGGAGAAAGATGAAAATATGTCAAGACTTGAGATGAATTAAAATTAATAGGTCAATAATTTACATAAGTTAATAAATAGGTTAAATTACTGTTTTCGTTCATAACTTGTCTGGTTATGAACCATAATTTGATTTGTCCATAATTTATCTAATTATGAACCATAACTTGATAAGTTTGTCTATAACTTATCTGGTTATGAACTATAACTTGATAAGTTATGGCCTATTAATTTCTATAACTACAAATTAACCTATATACTTTTTTAAACTTTCCATATTGGCCTATTTTCTATTATTTCCGTTTATTAATGAATGCATGTTGGACCTAAATTTTTTTTTTCGTGGAAACATCAAATGGGGTATTGTTCATACACACAATAACGTGACAATTTTGATTTTCTATTATTAGCCATGGATTCACGTTATATATATCTGAGAGCACGTGTTTTTCACTTAAAAATATCCTTTTTAATATACTCTCCTTTAACATTTATTTTATTTATATGTTTTTCTTTCTTAAGATCCTAGTTCCCGTTTGATTCTTTTTCTCCCCTTTCATTTTATTTCTCTTCACTTTTATTCTCATTAATTTTTATTAAAAGTCAATTTAGTTGCTAGTAAAAGTTTACAGGCTTCAATAACCAACAATTAGCATACTCATATAATGCAAACCTAAATTTATTTACTAACTTTTAAGAACATTAACTTATTAATTTCTAAACTCAATTTAAAACTATATTTTACAAAATTCACTTGTCCTAGAAGAAAAAAAAATGATTTGCAAAACCAAGTATTGCATAAATTGACTTTGTAAATCTTTTGTCAGATCCCAGGTTATAAGGACTCCCAATTTAAATTATGATGCTAACATTCGAGACAAAGTTAGAATATGTAGACAATACTTTTTAAATATGATAAGATGGGGGATTATTAGAATTTGTTGTCCATCATTAAATTTAAGTTTGCACTAAGCAATATTAACATTTCTATGTTTATAAAATACTTTTCAGTTAAAAAATTTGTTCTTAATAGCTGTTTAGTGTCCAACTTAAATAAAATATTGGATGCTGTACATATGGTTGTATCAGGATTTTGCCGTTGATGGTGGTTTCTTTATGATTTTTGCTCGTGCGAGATGTGTCGGGCCTCCGGAAGGGCTGTTACTTGGGGTTTTGGTCCCTGTGGTGTGGCATATCTTTTGGAGGAATTTAATCCAATTCTACTTGAAAAATAGACCCAATACACTCGAGTATGAGTCCTAAAGAGGGGTTGTGTACTGTCAAAAGAAGACATATTTCGTCAATTAGGGGATGTTTGGGTAGAGGATTCAAACTATGATTTGAATCATGGTTCATGGTTCGTTACAGTGTTTTCTCTCAAAAAAATACACGTAAATCGAAAATAGTTCTAATCCATGAATCAAACGTCTCCGTCTTATGACACAATTAATTTGTAACATGATTTGCTTCTGGGTTACGAAAGACCGGCCTTTATATGGTTTTTATGTGGTTTGTTCCTATCAACTACAAACAACTGCATTAATTAGTTGTAGAAATATGACTAAAATCTAACCGAATCATAGAGTCATGATAATTATATTCATAGCACGTGATATTTTATTATTAATTAATTCCTATATAGATTCGCATCAATTTAGTTATCAATCACAAGGACTCCCAATTTAAATTATGATCCTAACATTCGAGGCAATTTTAGAATATGAAGACAAACTAGATGGGGGATTATTAGAATTTGTTGTCCATCATTAAATTTAAGTTTGCAATAAGCAATATTAACATTTCTATGTTTATAAAATATTTTTTAGTTAAAAAATTTGTTCTTAATAGCTATTTAGTGTCCAACTGAAATAAAATATTGGATGCTGTACATATGGTTGTATCAGATTTTTGCCGTTGATGGTGGTTTCTTTATGATTTTTCCTCGTGCGAGATGTGTCGGGCCTCCGGAAGGGTTGTTACTTGGGGTTTTGGTTCCTGTGGTGCGGCATATCTTTTGGAGGGTCGGTGGCGGTTGCTTGTAGCTAGATGATTTTGTCAAATAATAGCTATTGTGGTCAGACTTAAGCCTCGTTCATTTCACCGATTTGAGTTTTTAATTTTAGATTTCTACAGTAAAAAGTACTCAGAAAATGTCACATTTAACTTTTTCTACTACAGTGAAAAGCTCTCAGAAAATGTCACATCTCAACTCGAATTGAAAACTCGAATCTGCGAAGTGAACGAGACCTTAGTATCTTATCTCTCACCATACACTAGTCAACATAAGGAAACTTACTTGATCCTCAAGAATTTAAATAGGAAACTTACTTGATCCTCAAGAATCTCATTTAAATGGAAAGCATATATACCAAGAAGATCCTAACTCAAAATTTAAACAGGAATCCAACAAGAATTCGACCAGCCAAATCCCTTACACAGCAAACCACGCCCATAAGTGGATGGAACGCCATACACGCATATCGAGAAATCCTAGGCACATTCTTCAAGGAATTAGACTTAGGGTGTGTTTGACTGTCTAAAAAACTCAAAAAAGGCAACTCGAGTTCTAATTTTATTTAAGTTCATGTTCTTTTAAGTTTGAACTCGAGTTTAAACTTGAGTTTGAACTCGAGTTTAAACTCGAGTTTGAACTCGAGCTTAAACTCGAGTTTGAACTTGAGTTTGGAACTAAAACTCGAGTTCAAGTGTCCCCCTCAACTCGAGTTCAGAAACTCGAACTCAAATTAATGAACAATATTTTTTCTCTTCTTAAAAATGCTATAATTTTTTCGTTTTAATCCTAATTGAGATGATTTTTTTTCTATGTGTTGATAACGAAAAGACGAATAAAACCCTACCCATATACCCTATTAAAATTTTTCTTCACCATTGAGTTTTTATTAAAATACTATCTAAATAAAAATTTAAGTTGAATCACTCAAACACAAACTCAAAAAAAGATTCTTATCTCAAACCATAACTCAAATGTACACAACCAAACACAAACTCAAGTTACAACTTCAACTCAAGTTATAACTCAAATTCAACTCAAAAACTACACTCAAGTCATACTTCAAAAAAACAGACCCTTAATTATTCTTCCTGGTTTTCACATTTTCACTATATTCTTGTTTCCCCTCTTCTTTCTGCCTCTTCTTGTTCTAATCACTATTGTAATTCTATTCATTGATTACAGTGAAACATCTACAGATAAGTAGCTCTTGAATTAGAGAAGAACTTTTATAAATTTTTGTGATTTTTTTGTGTCTTTGTCTCTATTTTTTTTCTGAAAATTATTTGTTATGATCGCGTTACTAAATCTATGATAGTCCAAACTCAATCATTGTCCTTAATACAAATTCAATTGTAGATTTTACCATCTACAATGACGATGTTGTTTCCATCTTGTAAGTTCTATGTTTTGTATTATGTGATTTTATTTTTTGTTTTGGGTGATCCCACTACCTTCTGAGTTTATTCACCGGATCTGTGTCCTAATAGTGGGGCCCGTTCACGTCACTAATTCGAGTTTGTAATTCGAGTTGAGATATAATTTTGTGTGAGAGCTTTTTACTATAGTAAAAAAGTTAGATGTGACTGTTTTTTAGAGCTTTTTACTATAGTAAAACTCGAATTCTAAACTCGAATCGGCGAAATGAACAGGACCTAGTTTCATTGGAGTTGTGTTTAGTAATTAAATAGTAATTTTTTTACATAAAATACCATGTGAGTTTGAATGATTCAAACCACTTATCCAATGTTTTCCATTCGTACTATACATATATATATATATTTTTTTTAATGAAACTGTATATTTATCTAGTTTATGATGATTTTTTTTTAAATTTGGCTTTAGTAATTTATGGACACAAAAGCATATGATTTGTACTCGAGTGCATGAGTAATGAATAAAAAGTGGATTTCATCGGTAGCAGAAAATGGGTCTGCGATTGAGACTTGAGAGTTTTCACTTCAGGGGACCATCAATACACACATAATATAGGCATAACATTCGATAGATACATATATACATATATATATATGTCTTACCGTTTAACTATATTGGTATAATAAAAACCTACACAATAAATGTGATCTTTTAAGCCAAAAAAAAAAAACTACCTATGTTCTTGTTGTATACATAAGTTTTATGAGTGTCGATTTAAGCTTCTTTCTATTTCTTTTGCTTAATTAATTTTAAGATAGAGAGAGAAATGAAAATGAGAAAGTTGGTAGCAATGGTGCAGAGAGAGAACGACCAAAAACGAAAAGAAGGGCAAACGAATTAAATATTGTTAAAATAATATAAATTTCGAATGTGAATTATGAATAAAACTATAAGAGAATTTTAGAATCGTGAAAGATCCCTTTTGAAATACGGAGAAGAACCTAAATAGCATTTTTCTGAAAATATTTATTGTAAATAGTATATTTTAAAATATTTATGATAATAACATACTTATGACTCATTTATAAAACATAATTACGGTAATTTATCTTATATATTTGCTTCCTAAATAAATCATTTACGTTATATTCTATTTATCATAAATACTTTAA